AAAAAAAAAAAAAAGAAAGTGAATGTAGCATGTCAATAACTATATATAGTTCATTACAAGATGTAATTTATGAGTTTCTATTGGTCCATGCTTTTATTACAATTAGCTACTTTTTTCAAATTGATCGATATCAGGTGAACATTATGCCTTCATCAAAGTTTTTTGGATGTGAGTTGTGGGATTTTGATGATATTTTGTTTTCTTCATAAATTTCAGGTCTTCTCAACTCCGGAGGTTCAAATAGGTTTTCATCCTGATGCAGGGGCCTCGTATTATCTCTCTCGTCTGCCTGGCTATTTAGGTATGGTTTCAACACAAATATATATAAAATATATACACACACATAAATATTCTTGTTCTTGAATCTCATACAATTTCTCATCTAGGTAAGAATTTGAAAATTACAAGTTGTTATTTAGTCTCGTCATATCAATGCAGGTGAATATTTAGCTCTAACTGGAGAAAAACTAAACGGGGTTGAAATGATGGCATGCGGTCTTGCTACACACTACTCATTGAAGGAAGTTAGTTTTCTATCACCAGCCAATATCTCTTTTTCTGCATTTTTAATATTCTTTACGGTAAAAATTGCAAAATCTAATCGAGTTTAGCTTATGTATCCCTTTGATATTCTTTGTACATCTCTTGGGGGTTTATTTGTTAGGTCAATGTACATCTCTTGGGGGTTTATTTGTTAGGTCAATGTACATCTCTTGTGGGTTATACGAGTGTGTTTTTTGTAATTAACCTGAATCATAGGGGTAAGTTTTGTAATTATCCCATTTTTTTTTTAAAGATATGTTATTGGTCTATTTTCCCTAACAGAAACTTCCGTGGATTGAAGAACGTCTTGGTAATTTGATAACCGATGATCGTTCAGTCATTGAAAGTTCTCTTGCGCAATATGGCTGCTTAGAGTACCCCGACTCGAGGAGTGTGCTTCATGAGTAATGCTTTTTTCATTCTTGTAGTGTTTAATTTAATCTATTTTCTATTTCTTTTCTTTCACGTGACTTTCACTTCTTTTTTACCTTCTGCGCCCTTTTACCGTGTCCCCACCTGTTTGAAGTATTTTGATGGCTACGATAATATGCACAATGATCATTTAACTTATTGTACTTGATATCAAGAATTAGAGTTTTATCACTATTTTTAATAATAATAATGATGATGATGATGATGATGATGATGATGATGATGATGATGATGATGATGACGATGATGTTACTCTATCTAATTACCGGCGACTTTCTCTTTTTGGGATTCAGGATAGAAACAATCGACTCGTTTTTCTGCTACGATACAGTTGAGGAAATAGTTGAAGCTCTCGTAAGTTGGTGTTTATTTATTTAATTTTGGTATTTTCTGCTCGGTAACACTGTAGATGATCGCTAATAATAATAATAATAATAGTAATAATGTTACGGTTTTTATTATCATTGAACATGTTTTCATGGGATTCGATCGAGTTCTGGTTTTCTCTATCTCTGTAGGAAAATCAAGCTTCAGAACCTGGTAATAAATGGCACACGACCGTGCTTAACAAAATTAAGGAAGCTTCTCCATTGAGCTTGAAAGTAACTTTGCAATCAGTAAGTCATTTTTATTAGTTGTTTTTATCTGCGAGTAAAAATTAATTCAAAAAATTGCCATTTGCACCTCTAAACTCCAACATTTATCGATTCATTTCGAATTCGTATAGGTTCGGGAAGGAAGGTTTCAGACTCTTGACCAGTGCCTCACTAGAGAGTATCGAACATCCCTGAGGTTCATATCCAAACACATCTCAAATGATTTTACCGAGGTATGTGCTAAACTCGGTAATATTATTAGCACAAAATTGGACAAAGTCCATTTGATATCCGATTTGCGCTCATCTTTTGTGCTTACATTATTATATTAGGGCGTACGTGCAAGATTGGTTGACAAGGACTTCGCTCCAAAGGTACGTTTTAAATTTTGTTAAGAACAATCTTTAGTCGAGGTAAAAACAAATCACAGATAATTTTAGGTATAACTACATTTGAAAATTTAGCCTAAATTGCCGAGTCATATTTTCAAAACTTACGAATACATATCACTCGGCATAAATAAACCGGGGCTATGTTGTTATGCATACGGATTGCAGTGGGGCCCACCCAAGTTGGAGGATGTAACAGACGACATGGTTGACTCGTTTTTCTTGCCGCTCGGCGAACTCGAACTGGAGTTAAACCTACCGGTTGCTGTAAGAGAGCCCGATGTGTGATGTAGAAATAATTTTTGGCTGATAATGAATCTGAATTTTTGTAGCCTCTCATCATGTGCCCTTAGTTGAGCTAAAATGATGTTCAGCATTTTATATTCACTTAAACAGTTTTCTGGCAAAGTATGTAAAATCTTTTGAAAGTCAACAAGGGTTTTTTTTTGCATTTTACACTAATGGAATATGAGTTTAGTTGCATTTTCTTTGAGAAAAATAACATGTATGGTAGCAAAAATGATTCCAGCAAAACTCAATTTTCCTATGGAAAAACTTTATTATATCACCAAATATCTTAGTTATTACTATTATTGCTGCTGCTACTACTATAGTAGACGAATCGAAGGCTCGTACGGAATAGCGACCAAGAAAAGCTTGTCCTTCCTTGAGGCCGTGACCCCAGGATTCTCGGTCATGTCCAAATCTTCTGCACGCACCCCTTCCGGAAGCTTCCAGTCAAAACTATAGAGAAGTCGGGCCAAGGGAAGCTCGATGCTGGCTAGGCCGAACGCCATCCCGGGACACATCCTTTTCCCCATCCCAAACGGTAAATATTGAAGACCCTCATTCATGAAATCCAGGCCCCCATCTTCAAACCTATCGGGCACGAAACTCTCGGGATCCTTCCAGTATTTTGGGTCCCTCTGCATGGCCCAGTTGTTGACCAAGACTCTAGATTTGGCTGGGATCGTGTACCCGTCGAGCACACATTCCTCTCTGGATAACCTTGGGATGATTGGGATCGGCGGGTGTAGCCGCAGGGACTCTTTGATTACGAGCTTTAGGTACTTTAGTTTGTGCGTGAGATCTTGTTCCTCGATTGTTTGGTCCTTCTGGAAGGCTTGTCTGATTTCGGCTTGGGCCTTGGCCATGACTCTAGGGTTTCGCATGAGCTCGACCATTGTCCAGTCGATCACGATCGATGATGTCTCGGTTCCGGCTGCGAACAAGTCCTGCAATCGGCGCACGAAACAATTTTAAGAGCACTAACTACATTTGTTTCACGCTTTTCACACGGTGATATTGCTTAATCAAACAATCATTTAATCCAAAAAATGTTGAACTTACGAATAAAACGGCTTTGATGTTGTCGTTTCCGATCGGGAAATCGAGCTCCCCACTCTCCATAACCCTCAAGAACACATCAACCAAGTCCTCATTCCCAAATTCCCAAATCCCCATCCTAGCACCACCTTTTCCCGTTGTTTTTTTCTCCTTGTGCTCTTGAATAATATCGTCGAGAATCAGGTCGACTTTCTGCCTCATCTTAACGAGCCTCATCCTGCTCCAGCTGAGTGCCCTAACGACCCGCCAAGTCGGGTACAGGTCAGCAATCTCAAACCCGCCAGTCAGCTTGAATGCGGCCCGCATGAGCCCGACAAACCCGTCCCTATCCTTGCACACCTTTCCGTACGCGGCCCGACACAGGATGGCGCTCGTCAATGAAAATGCCTTCTCTGTGAGGTTGATGGGCTCCCGGGCCGAGGCCTGGACTGACTCGACCAGGCGGGCCACCTCGTCGGCCCGAATGGAGGCAAACGAGCGGACGGTTTTCGCACTCAGGAGCTCGCTCATGCAAATCTTGCGCATCTGCCGCCAGTAGTCACCATATGGGCTGAAGGCAAGGCTGGTGTAGTTGTACCACATGATTTCGATGGCAATGGAATTGGGCCGGGCCGCAAAGCCCGGGTCTCCGTCCTTGAGGACATGCTTGGCGAGTCTCGGGGATGAGACTACAAAGACCTGGACCTCGCCAAGCGTGAGGTGCATGATCGGGCCGTGTCGCGTGGAGAGGGCCCGGAAGGAGCGGAAGGGAAGTGGGCCGATGAGGTGGAGATTGCCGATAAGGTGTTTTGTGTTTGAATGTTGTGGGAAGACACAATTTATTGTGTGGACACAAAAATTTCACTTAATTACAGGTATATTCAGTGGAGAAATGATGGGTTTATACCATTTACTTCACGTTTCAAATGAGGCCAATGCACATGTAAAAAATAGCCTAGTGAAAAGACATTGGACAAAATCTCCACCATTACTAGTCTATTCAGTCGAGAACATGATGTGTTTGTACTATTTACTTCACATTCACATGTAAAATAGCCTAGTGGATTTGCAACCTCTACTTCATCTTCAACTTATGTGTTCCCTACATCTTGGCCATATACTTTTTACGGTCAGAATGTATGGTCAGAATGTCCGAAATATTGCAAATTATGAATGTTCATGATATTCGAGTTGCTTTTTACGGTGAAAAATCGGCGGGCCCGACGCCGTGCAGGCGTGGGACGGAGTCCGACGCGCCGAAGTTGTCGTACATCATCGGCCTCGTCTCCGGCACCAACGTCAGGATGACGGGCATCATGATGAAGAAATTAGAGGAGTTTTAGTGAGGGATTTGAGGAAATTAGTTGAGCTAAAAAGACGTTCATCATTTATATTCACTCAACAGTTTCCTGGCAAAATCTGTAAAATCTTGTGAAAGTCAACAAGTGTTGTTGCAATTTGCCACTCAAAATTCATATGCAATTTGAACATGGCTTGGTAATTCATTCTTCAGCTCTAGACAGAATAAATGATTCAGTTTTATTAATTGCTTTAATCTTCTTCTTAATATTGATCATCTGCTATTAGATTTACACTAATAGGCTATGTGTTTAGTTGTTTTTTTCTTAGAGAAATAACATATATGGTGGCAAAATAATGATTCCTGCAAAACTCAATTATTCAAATGAAAAACTTTATCAAAGCACCAATTTTTTTCTTCTTTTTCATCATCATTATCATTATCAGTGCAGCTGCTGCTGCTACTAGAGTCGAGTAGAAGTCAAGTTGAAGGCTCGTAAGGACTAGCGACCAAGAAAAGCTCATCCTTCCTCGAGGCCGCTAGCCCGGGATTCTCGAACATGTCCAAATCTTCCGCCCTCATCCCTTCCGGAAGCTTCCATTCGAAACTATACAAAAGTCGGGCCAAGGCCAGCTCGACGTTTGCAAGGCCGAACGTCATCCCGGGACACATCCTTTTCCCCATCCCAAATGGCATATAGTGAAAACCTTCATTCACAAAATCCGGGCCCCCATCTTCAAACCTCTCGGGCACGAAACTCTCGGGATCCTTCCAATACTGTGGGTCCCTCTGTATGGCCCAGTTGTTGACCATGACTCTGGATTTGGCGGGAATCGTGTACCCGTCGAGCACACATTCCTCCCTTGAGACCCTTAGGATGATCGGGAATGGCGGGTGTAGCCTCAAGGACTCTTTGATTACGAGCTTTAAGTACTTTAGTTTGTGCGTGAGATCGTGTTCCTCGATTGTTTGGTCTTTCTCGAAGGCTTTTCTGATTTCGGCTTGAGCCTTGGCCATCACGCTAGGGTTCCGCATGAGCTCGGCCATTGTCCAGATGATCGTGGTCGATGATGTCTCGGTTCCGGCAGAGAACATGTCCTGCAATTGGAATTATTAGTTATTGATGCTAAATTAGTCAAAGAATTAATCAATTTAGGGTAAAATACTTGTTCCAACCTGGTTTATGGTTTATGGACTCTGCAGCTTATATAGTAGTACTGTAAAATGCAATCTGAACTTGATGAACATTCATAATTTGTAACTTTGCTTACATTTGACCATACACGTGTTCATTTTTTGCGGATAATTGTATGGTATGTACATGAAGTTCATGTTATATTTTAGTTCTTACTATGAAAAATACTATACATTAATTGCAACTTGCAATAAGTAAAAAAACACACGTATAGTATAGATTGCAGCCAATTTTCTACCCAACGAAAACTTACGAGTAAAACGGCCTTGATGTTATTGTTTCCGATCGGGATATCGAGCTCCCCACCCTCCATAACCCTCAAGAACACATCAACCAAATCCTCATTCCCAAACTCCCCATTCCCCCTCCTCACACCACCTTTTCCCGCTGTTTCCTTGTGTTCCCGAATAATATCGTCGAGAATCACATCGACTTTTCGCCTCATCTCAACCAGCTTCATCCTGCTCCAGCTCAGTGCCCTAATGACCCGCCGAGTCGGGTACAGGTCAGCAATCTCTAACCCACCTGCCATCTTGAACGCGGCCCGCAAGAGCCCGACAAGCCCGTCCCTATCCTTGCACACCTTCCCGAACGCGGCCCGACACGTGACGCCACTTGTAAGGGTGAAGGCCATCTCCGTGAGGTTGACGGGCTTTCGGGCCGAGGCCCGAATCGACTCGACCATGCGGGCCACCTCGTCTGCCCGAATGGAGACGAAGGAGCGGACGTTTTTCGCGCTCAGGAGCTCAATCATGCAAATCTTGCGCATCTGCCGCCAGTAGTCACCGTACAGGCTGAAGGAAATGCTGGTGTAGTTGTACCACATGATCTCGAAGGCAATGGATTCGGGCCGGTCAGTGAAGCCCGGGTCACCGTCGGTGAGGACCCGTTTGGCGAGGCCCGGGGATGAGACCACGAAGGCCCGGACCTCGCCTAGCGTGAGGTGCATGATTGGGCCGTGTCGGGTCGAGAGGGCCCGGAAGGAGCGGAAGGGGAGCTGGCCGATGAGGTGGAGGTTGCCGATGAGGGGGAGCTTAATCGGGCCGGGAGGGAGGTTTTGGGCCAGGAGGGACCGATTACGTTTCTTGATAAGAAGGAAAAGGATGAAGGAGGAGAGGAGGAGGGAGATTGTTAGTATTGTTTCCATGTTTAAGTGAAGACTGGAAAAATCCAATCTTTCTTGTTCTTGTGTATGTTTTTGATTTAAGGTTATGGCTGTTGTGAGAGGGGAATTTATAAGGTGATATGTGTTTGAATTTTGTGGGAAGATAAAAATTTATTGTGTGGAGAGAAAAAAATTCCACATTTCACATGAGGTATGAAGCCTCCTTTTATTGTGTGGAGAGAAAAAAAATCCACATTTCACACGAGGTATGAAGCCTCTGCACTTGGAATAAATAGCCTAGTGGAAAGATTATATTGTTTGGCAGTCCAATTTATAGTTTTTGTGTGCAGTTTTGTCGTGAAGCCAACGGTTGGCTTCATATGTATACAACAAGTAAATCATACCACATTAATAAAATTAGTAGTATTTATTTAAGTATTCAGAGAATATGGTATGATTTACTTGTTGTATATAGAAGGTTGACTCTACTGTTGAGTCAACTGTTGACTTCATAGCAAAACTGATGTTTTTATTATCAATCACTAATTTTAAGGGTTTGAAGAAATTGTTAAAATCAACAAAAAATCTAATGAAAAACTAATTTCAATAAATAATTTCATTGAAATTTTCTAATAAAAATTAATATTAATTTGAATCATCTTTGGAACACTGTATTACTATTGGAATTAAATGATTTTCTTATTGTGTTCGACCAAATTCAGCCCGACTCGTTTACTAAACGAGCTTTCTTTGAGCTTGAGTTCGGCTCGTCTATCAAACGCGTCGAGCCAAACTCGAGCCTTAAAGAGCTAAACTTACGAACAACTTGTTTGGTTTAAAAGCTTAAACTCTCAGACAAATCAAGCATATGTTTTTATCATACACTTAACGGTAGCCATCAAGTTTGTTAACTTTCAAAACTTGAAATGCTTGAATTGTAAATATAACCTAATTTAATTTGTACCGATGAAATCACAATTTTTATTTTATATTTTTACTTTCAAATTTCACATTGATCATGAATGAGTTATCACCATTCTCTCACATAAATAATTTTTTCCAAACTACAATGTTGTTTAAGAGAATAAATTCCATTTATGCCCAAATTTTACATATTTTTTCTATTTTTATTTATCAGTGTTTTAATTAAATTACTTTTAAAATTAATTAATATTTTGTCCATTCCTTTAAAAAGTTATATATAGTGAAAGATGTCTCTAAAAATTACAATTTTGACTAGAAAAATGCAAAAATGCAAAAAAAATGATAATAATAATAATAATAGTAATAATAATAATAATAATAATAATAATAATAATAATAATAATAATAATAATAATAATAATAATAATAATAATAATAATAATAATAATAAATATTGAGCTGAACAAGGTTGTGTATCAAAAAATGAAAAACAATCCCTTCCCATGTATATGAAATCTGGATTCAATTGATTGTCGTGAATTTTGTGATGATGATTATGATGGTAATATCTTGCCCAAAGTTAAATGTACAACGTTAAAAACATGTTGAATTTTAGGAAGGGTAAAACATTTTTCGCATATGTACTATAAGCATTCATATTTTTCAGCTTCTCGTACATCTTGACCATATTGACACGCACTTGTATGGTTTCTCGTGCATCTTGACCATACTGACTGTATGGTCAAGATGTATTGACACTCAGTTTGCATTTTACCTACTATATGTTGCAAAGTCCATTCTACCCGAAAAAATGTTTTACCCGAAAAAACTAGACATATATATATAGTAGAAAGCTAAGAGAAGTATGGTAAGGAAAACACTATGGAGCTTACAAAAAAAAAGCCGATACGACGAATGAACACAATGACACGATAGGTGTCGCGACATTATTTTTTGTTTGTTTGTTTATCTCCTCTGGAAATTAAATGCCCTGATAGAATATGCGAATATGAAGGTGAAGAGGACGACAAATCCAAGAACTATAGCCGCAACAATTCCAAGCATGTCGTGTCTGAACCCAAAGTAACTTCTCAAGAATTGATTGACCGTTTGCCCTGTCTCCATCCGATCTTCGATCTCGCCAAATTGAGATACTATCAAACCGTACAAAGTGTAAGCCACGGGGTTGGCCCAATAGTACCATCTCCACCAAACGGGTATCCTCTGTTTTCGACAGTTATGAAAAAACAAAAAAAAAAAACAAATATCAGTTGTTGTTTATGTATGTTTTAGGTTGCGTTTGGTAAACATATAAGCTAGCTTATAGCATATTTGATTAGCTTATAAGTTTTCTATATTGAAATAAACTTGGTTTAAGGAAGAACTTTTTTAAAAAGTTCGAGTTTATTTCATCATCTTCCTTGATCTTCCTTGCGTAGCGTTTCAAATAAACCCATTGATTTTTTTTATTTCAGCTAGTTTATTTGCTAATTTTACCAAATACTTTCATTGTATATGCTAGTTTTCCAGACATAAGTCATACTCTATCAGCTATAAACTCGAAATTCACTTAAAATCTATAAACTACCTTATAAGTTCGATTTACCAACCATAGCCTTACTGGGTAATTATGATTCACATAGTTAAGTTGAGGCATGATTATATAACTTACGGGTCGAGGGATGATGAATCCGGAGAAAAGATTCCACAACGCGTAGAAGAAAGTAGAAATAATGGCGGCAACGTTGTGGTTTGGCGTTAC